AGGGCTCCAGTGGCTTTAATCCAGGATGGATCCTAGGGGTCCTATTTGTTTAAACTGCATGGAATTAAGCCCTGGTTGCATTTAGTTAAACTTTTGCTCCAGGGTTACAAGTCAGGGATGGGAAACGCATCCTTCAGACATTGTTGGAGTGCAATTCCCATCACCCTTGGGCTGATAAAGGCTGATGGGAGTTGCAGCCAAACTGGAGGAAGGGCAACAAGCTGCCAAAAGAGGAAGGATAGATCTAAAGTTAAACTCCTTGGCCAGTTCAAGCCAGAGCGTTCGTGGAAACATAGGCGACAAAGCTGAAGGTGTTGCACTTTGGACTCTTCATGAGAAGGCAAGACTCACTGAGGAAGGCAATCTTGCTCAGGAAAAATGAAGCCATTTGCTCAGGAAAAATGAAGCCAAAACTGAAGAAGGGGAAGTCCAGCTATGAGATGGATGGACTCCATCAAGGAGGCCACAGCCTGGAATTTAGAAAGCTGAGCAGGATTGTCGGCCGGGACATTTTAGACTGTATTCATTCATGGGGGACCCCAAGTCAGAGACAACTTGACAGCACCTAACAACAAAAGTTACGCTATTAATATGCCATTGTTTTTCTCCAAAGCAGAAAATGCTATTGCCTCAGTTGACCCGATATTTTATTCTCACCACAGCCCTGTAAGGTCGGGTAGACTGAGAGAGTCTGACAGGCCTGCAGCCGTCAGGAGGGAGTGGGGATTCGAACCGGGGTTTCTGCAGTGCAGCTCCGGCCTTGCAGCGCATCTGCTGCACTGGCTACTGTGTCTCTAGCTAAGGACTAAGGTATTTTCTGCAAGTTCCCATTCAACTTACACAGGACCCTTGTGCTGATTGCTTAATTGGTAAGAGCTACAAATTAAAAGCAGGGCAAATGTAAATGTGTTAAAATATTTTCATGAATGAAGTAAAATTACTTTTCCATTGCTCAGTTTATGCATACAATGGAAGAGGGAAAACCAGCACAACAATAACAAAAACTATAGTTTTTGTTTGTATTTATTTATTTATTTATTTAGATGATTTTTGAGTGTCTTTCGGGGTCACAAGTTTCCGAAGTACAATTTCGCAATTTAATTTCAATAACCAATTTAAAGCATCAAATCATTAATCTATCTCTCCTGCTTGCAGGAGGGATCTGAGCTGGGGGGGTGGCTGTTGCCCTCCGGCCTATTTCTGGGTTTCTCATGGGGAGCTGGTTGGCCCAGAGGGCCGGGCAGGATGGGTCCTTGGTCCAATCCAGCAGGACTCTTCTTTTGGTCTTACTTATTTATTTATTTATTTATTTTTCGATTTATATCCTGCCTTTTTCCTACAAGGGGCTCAAGGCAGCTTACATCATTCTCCTCCTCCAACTTATCCCACAACAGCAACCCTGTGAGGTAGGTTGGGCTGAGAGTCTGTGACTGGCCCAAAGTCACCCAGTTGGCTCTGTGGCTGAGCGGGGACTAGAACCCGGATCGTCTGAGTCCCCGTCCCATGCTTTTAACCACTACGCCACACTGGCTCTTACCAACAATCTGTGATAGCCCAACCTTCCCCAACATGGTGCCCTCCAGACGTACAACTCCCTTCATCCACTGCAGTATCAGTAACTGCGTCACCAGGGGAAGGGAAGTGTCCCATTGATCCAAGCAGAAATTCATCGAATGAAGTGGCTCTTGCAAGCCAGTGTGGCCTCCCAGAAGGTGCCCAGTTGGTCGCCCGTTTTGCAGCACCACCAAATTGCAAGTAGAGTTAACCAGGTCGTGCCTCGGCTGCGGTCATCCTGCAGGCCTCGCGCCTGAGTGAGGATCTGAACCGCGGCTTCTGCTGTCCTGGTGTAACCACCATGATCCCCTGCCTCCTGCAGAGACAGCTGCAGAGTGCAGCCCACTGCGTTTCCAGCAGCTGGGATGACTCGCCTGTGGGAGGGACTTGATGGAGGAGAACAGGAATCCCCCGGATGTGTCACTGGGAGGCCGGTAGCTGAAATACAGAATCACAGAACAGCAGAGCTGGAAGGGGCCAGGAAGGCCACGGCTCCAACCCCCTGCTGTTGCAGAACAGCACTTTACACCATCCCACTGGGGTGGCTGGCCAGGGGGTACAGCTGCAGGGGGTCCCCATTCTCCTCTGCCTTGACCAAGTGATCCCAGCTGAACTTAGGCCAGAGATGCGGCAAGACTCGGGTGTCCCAGAGAGTCTAGAAATGGTTGTCTGAAGCCACTAGCATCATAATCTCATAAACCCAGCAAGTAGGAAGACTGCGCTTTGCTGATGGCCTTCCATCGCAAGTCTGAATCTCCCCCTCTGAGATCAATCGTTCTTCCTGACCACAAACCAGACCTTCTGAGACACCCTCCCAAGGACCAGAGGGTTGGAATCTCAATGATTTTGATAAGGATCCTGGGCCAAAGGGGACCTTAGCCTGCTCTCTCTGTCCAACAGTCTCAAGTTTAAATTAAAATTAATCCTGTCTTGCTTAACCAATGGATGGATCACAACAGCCTGGGAAAAGTATTGAAGCCCACGTTTGGAACATTGCTGTCAACGGGATTCTCCCCCTGGACCCATTAACTGGTACACACAAAGGCGCAGGACCTTATAAATCTGATCCCATACATGTACAGACAGAAAAGGTCCTTCAGCTCCCAACCGTCCCCAGCCAGCCATGCCAGCGTCTGGCTGCTAGGCTGTCTAGTTCAATTTTAGTAACGGGAACTGACAGTGCCTCTTCAGGGTCTCAGACAGAAGGAAAACGTTTTCTCTTCTGTCTTAGACGTGGACTGAAACAATTTTTCAGAACGCTCAGGCATTTCTGTATTAGTTTCCTTATTAAGTGCCCTTCTGGTCCTCTTGGATTTTAGCTACACAGACTGCAGCTGTGCACCTTCTGGAAGAATAAGAATACTTTATTTTTACACTGTTTTATTATGATGTTTATGATTTTTCTTCACAAGTTGCTTTGGCCAAACAAACAAGGATATATATTTAATAATAAGTAGACTTTAAAATCAGAACAAGTTATTTGGCCAAGTTATGGAAAGGCCAAGTGCACATTTAAACAAGCCATCATAACTTGATTTTAGGTGCAAAAGCACTTAAAGCTGCATTCCTCTTTGCACTTACCTGGAAGTAACCCCCCTTGGATTCAGAGAGGCTTACTTCATGCATGATAAGGCTTCCACTGGGGGGGGGGGATACTCTGTACATGCTCTATCCCTCTAATATACCTTTACTAGTTTGGGAACTGAGCCCTGGTATTGACATAACTTATTTTTGGCTGGAGTAACTCCATAGTCCAACCTTTCCCGATCTGTTAGTGACCATTAGTGTGGGTGTATGACTCCCATCCTCCCCAGCCTGCTTTCTGGGAGTGATGGGAGTTGTAGGCCAATTCATCAGGAGGGCTTGAGAAAGACTGTCTTGTTTTTCCCCAGGAAAGTGTATTAGTAAACTGGAAAAAGCCAGTATTACAGATCTGCAAACTTTGCTACAGTAAGAAGTAAAAATCAGAAAACGACGTGAGAAGGAGGGGAGGAAGGAGCAAGGGAGCAAGGAAGGCGAGCTGCAGCTTTGTTCTGTGATTAAATAAACATCTTAGAATAACAACAAACACTTTCTGGCTATCTAAAGACTTTCCCTGCGCCCTCCCCCACCCCACCCTGAAGTCCCACATCTTGAAGCAATCAGCAGCTGAGAAGAGGCGTCCCCTTTGGCATCTCAGGTTAAAGGAAAATGTGGTAGAGCCATTACACGAAACCTGAGATGCGTTCATCAGGGACTCCAATTGCCGTCGCATTAGGATTGATTGGAGACCAGCAGTACCGTAATGACCCGGAAAGAGGGGCACCCAGAGATGATGCCTTTGCGTCGCCTCCCCACCTTTCCCCCTTTTCTTTCTTTCGTTCCCCCCCCCCCCCCCCCCCCGGTTTTCCTTTCCTTTCCTCTCTTTTTTTTTTTTTAAGACGAACGTTTTATGTTACCAGGACGGCTCTTTTCTTGTGCAAATTTGCTTGAGGAAAATAGGAATCCATCCATTTATTATTGACAAGAGCGGCCGGTTTTGGATTTCTTTTAACATTCCTATGGGGCAATTATAATCGTGAAAATATAACTTAAACGGAGGAAGAGGGACGAAAGCTTTCGGTAGATTTACAGGAAAAAGGGGGGGTCGCAATAAAATTATGCCTACCTTTAAAAAAAATCTGATGGAATAAGGCTATGAATTTCGTGGAAATAAGATAGATTAACAGTGCTGTCTTAATAGGTGCCTACTCCAAGTAAGTCTTACTAAGTTTAATGGGGTTTCCTCCCAAATTAATGGGCATAGAATTACACCTCACTCCCGGGAATAAGTCCCGTGGGACCAAGTGAGACTTACTCCCGAGAAAGCCTCGAACACGTCCTCTAACTTTTTCATCGGCTGGAAGGAAAACCAGAGAAGCGCCCCGATTCTGAAAGCCAAGTCCGTTGTTTGCAATGGCGTTGGCTCCCAAAAGAAAATAGCTGGGACCGCGCCGGGCAAGCAGTTTTGAGTCTGAAGGCGTCCCCACGATCCAGGCAACAAGACGCGTTTTAAAGGTGCCCCTTAGCTGAGCCTCGTGTTGAATCCTGCCCTCGGCACACAGGCCAGCGGCTCGCGTTTGTCCTCCCCAGAGTAGACCCATTGCGCTGAAGCTGCGCGGCCCCGGCACTGGAGGCAAGCTCCGCCTCGAAGGGCCCCGGCTGCGGCGTCGCTCCGGCCCGAGCGCGCCGGATCTCCCGGGGCTTTTGCGCCCGATCTGCGCGCGAGGCTCGCTCCGGGGAAGGGCAGCCTCCGACCGGCGAGCTGGGCCGCGTTGCGCCCCTCGGCCCGCCGCCGCGCTCTCAGCCTCGCGGATCGGGGCCGCCCCGCGCCGGACCCTTCGCCGTCTTCGTGGCGCCCGCTTCGAAGGCCGCTGCCGGTTAATCCGGAGCAGAGGAGCACCACACGCCGCAAGCAGGAGGCCTGAATGCGAGGCAGGGGGACGGGGGTCTTCCGGAAGGTGCATCTCTTTCAAAATTATAAAATCGCCCGTGTTCATGTTTGCTTCCCCTCAAATGACCTGATTAATTACTAGCTCCCCCCTCCAAAAAAAAATTAAGCAGTGGAGTGTTTTAAAGGGCGCGCCGCGGGGGGGGGGGCGGGGGAGCGGGCTGGATAAACAGAGCAGCCTCGCTCCGCGCTTTGCGCCAAAACAAACCGGTCCCTCCTGGTCTGGCTTTAGCGGCAGCGCCCTGGATAATGAACTCCATCTTTCCAAGCCGAACTTAACTGTTTATTTAGTGTCACCCCGCATTACCATCACTGGCACTTTCCTCTGAACAGAAGGAGCTGGAGGGTTTCTCCTCCAAAAAGGAAATTCTTTTTAGCTTAGGCAGACTTCAGCAACCAGGATGCACGGGAGGGAGGGAGGGAGGGAGGGAGGGAGAAGCGGTCCGCCTTCGGCTGATTTTCCCCCTCGGTGGCTGAAAACGCTGCGGAGAGACCGCGCGCGGAAAACTAAAGCGGGTGCAGCCAACGCTGCAGGGGGGAAGCGCGCGCGCCGTTTCCGGGGCTCCAAGTCAAGTCTTGCGGGGAGGGCGCGATCCTGTGCGCCTTTGGAGCTGAGGAAAGGCCTACAATTCCCAGCATGCCCCAGGCCACGGGCATGCTGGGAATCGAAGGCCTTGGTTCAGTTGCACGCTCACACGGGATGCGCCTTGCTCGCAAGGAACCCGAGGCGCCCCTGTTCACACAGTCTCCCTCCTCTCCGGTTTGTCCTCACAACCACCCTGTGAGGTAGGTGAGGCGGAGCGGCCAGGTGCCTGGAAGAGCCCGGGTCGCCCGAGCCCCAGCGCCGTCTGCCGGCCACCCGCACACGGGCCCTCGACCACACTCCTTGCGTTGCAGCCGCAGGCCTCCAGGCCCGAGCACGCGAGCGCCTTCCGGATCCAGAGAGCGATCCTCGCTGCATCTACCGAGGAGTCAAGCCCCCGGCGCGCACTTCCCTGGGGAGGCGCGTGCGAAGATCGTGGCCCGGCCCGTTCCCGGGAGGATCCGCAGAGCTGCAGGCGCGCCCGCCTCGGCTGGAGCGAGCCCTCCTTTCTGCAGGCGGAGCTGCGTGTGGCAGCTTGGGGCGCCTTGTCGTGGCCAGAGTGCTGCGTGTGTGTCGGGGGGGGGGGGCGGTCGGTTGAATGGAGGCCCTCACTGTGCGAGCGGTCGTGGGAAAGGCGGAGGCCCCGCGCATCCTCCCCTGTCTGGCCCGGGCACCTTTCCCAGGCCCGAGGCAAGTGCGAGAGAGATGCAGGCGAGGCTGGCTGGCATCAGGGCAGTGGGCCGCCCGCAGGTGCCCCGAAGCATCGGCACGTTGTTTCCTTCTCCCCCCCGAGTGGCAGGCACGGCAGCGGGGCGGGGGGCGAAGCGTCGGGCCCTGCGCAGCCTGCGCACCGGGTCGGGGCTGGCCCGAGGTTGCTGCCGCCCTGTGTGCGCTGAGCAGCGCCGGCCTGCTGAATTTCCGCGCGGGCAGCGCGCAGCGCTCGGCCCTGCTCGATCGGGAGCCCGCGGCGCCTGCAGTCAAGCGTGAGGTCAGGTTGCCAGGCGCATCCCTTTCTGCGAGACCCGAAAGGCTGGGGGGCGGCCTGCGGTGCCTTCCCCGCGGAGCCCTCCTGCTGCGTGGCGGCAAGAGAGCGCGCTGCGTCCAGCCAGGCGCTCGGCCTCCGCTGGCTCCACCGCTGGCCTGCTCTACCGGGATGTTGTAAGCATCCGTGAGGCAGCATATGTGGCGCGCCTTGGGACAGGAAATCGACGGGCATGCCTGCCGCCATTGTTACTGAACTCCAGCATCGCCCGCTCCCGTATCTGCACCTACAGACGTGCAACCTAACACTACCCGAGTTTATCCAGAAGCAGGCCTCTGAATTCAGCCGGACTCGTTCCCAGCGAAGCGAGAGAGGACAGACAATCCAGGCATCTAAGCAACTCCGGCCGGGCCTTGGGCCTGCTCGCAAGAGGCGACACGCGGGCAGTGCTTCATTCGCACGTGAGGGGCGGGCTCCCCTGCAAGGCTTCCCAGGCAGCCCTCGGCTCTCATCTTCTTCCTTCGGAGCGGCCTGAGTGACACCGCTTTGTTTGTACAGGTGTTCGGGGTGGGGGGTGATGGGGCCAGTCCTTGAAAGTCTCCTTCGAGTCCTGGATTATTTTTTTTTCCTCGGCGCTTTGGGCGGAAATGCCTTGAAAGGATGGGCACGGAGGAGGGCTGGGAAAAGCCCCGCTCTCTTTCAGTCGCTTTAATTTTTAAGGGACGTGGGGCGGGGGGAGGGGGCGGAAAGAAAAGGAAAATACAAGTCCTTTATTGTTTAGAAATAAGCCAAGCAACTGGTCCTCTTTCTCTCTCGCTCTCTTCCCCTCGCGCTTAGCAGCCAGGGAGGGCGAGATCCGGTATCACGTTGCAGATTCCCACTAAAGATAACGAAATGCGATCTATTTTTCAGGACGGCCAGTGGATGGGAAAAGCGCTCTGTACGACACAAAACTCATTTACTAATGGCCAGGTTTTGGATTTCCTCCGCTTCTCCAGGGTCGGAAATCGCGGGAGTTTTAGGTTACTTGCCGCCGCAGAAGACGCGGCCGCATTCTGCAAATCCCTTTATTTTTAATTAATAAATAAGGGCGAGCGTTCCCCAGGACTCAGCCGCCTCTGGAGATTTTCTTTCTCTCTCTCTCTCTCTCTCTCTCTCTCTCTCCCCCCCCCCACCCTAAGGCACGCACCCAGTTGTTTACGTTCTTGATTTGGAGGAAACGAGGCCGGAAGGTGGGCAACCTCTTGGCGATCGCCGCCCCCGCCCCCGCCCCCGCCTTGCCCAAACCACAGATGCGCGCATGATAGCCGTGCACGGTTTAATTTTACGCCGTAAATCGATTTTTGCAGGCAGTGCCGCTCAGGGTTGCCCACGGAATTCTGCCACGTCCGAGCCACGGTGGGGCTCGGCTCTGAAGCCTGCGAGTGGCCGCGGACAAAAGCCGCAGCGGCCTAACCCTGCGGAGGTTTCTCGGCAAGCTGCCTAGGATCGGGGCGCGCCAGGCTGGAGAAGCGCGCTGCCCGTCCGCGAACACGCCGCGCGGCTTTGGCCCGGTGGGCCAGGAGGCAAGCCGCGCGATCCTTAGCCTGCCTACTCGGAAGTAAGCGCCGTGAAGGCTAGGGTGACGCTAGGCTTGGTGTCAGTGCGGCTTACTTGGGGGAAAGAGGCAAGGCTGGCGGCCGGCAGCTTTCCTCGCCCTGCCAGGAGGCTGGGGCGTTCGCGCTCTGCCCACCTCCGCGGGAGCGAGCCCCGCTCGACCTGGGGGGCCCCTTTCCGAGGAGGCACCTGGGACCCGACGGAGGCGCTGCAAGCCAGAACAGGCGGACCTACAAGCAGTCGGGGCTGCCATCCTTAGGGCTTACTCCTGTGTAAGGTTAGACAGAGGCGGGCTGCGAAGACAGCCATGGGCAGCTCTGTCCTGCGTCTACGAAACCGTAAAATAGCAGATACATTCAGCAGTGGGTTTCTATTTATTAAACGATTCGATTCTTTGGAGGAAAGTCTTTCCTGGATGCCCGAAGAGCCACTTTTTCCTTGCGTTGCCTTCGGGACCGAGAGCTTCTCGCGGCTCTTTTTCGTGCGCCGTTCCCCTCCCCAGCTTTCCGGAGTTTCTTTGGAGAAACGAGAAGGGTGCGGGTTTAAATGCAGGGAGCGAGCCCTCTTCGCAGCTGCTCGGGGGGGAGGGGGACTCCGGCGAACAGCAGGTAGAGACCCCTTGTGCAGGAGACATCGCTTAGATTGTCCCCGGTTTCTGCAAGCTGGGCATGAACAGCAAGCCTTTCCCCACGGGGAGGGGAGCGCGCGGGGAGCCCCTTTCCAGCCCAGGCACGAAGCCCTTGCGTGCAACGCGCTCGGGCGAGCGCCGCCGACTCGCCCTCCACTCGCCCGTCCACAATCAGCCCGGCTGAAACCAAATTGGGGCTGGACTTCCCTTCCCAGTAACTTAAGAAGGAGGCGGATATAACCGCGTTGAAAACCTGGCGTTGGTCTCCTGCGGAGACCCAGTTCAAGGAGTTCCCGGACGACGTAAATGGAGATGGGTTACGTGCGCATCCCAGAACAGAAGCGTTAAAGGGGGTCCTAGTCCAGGGTAGCGGTGAAAGAGAGGGAATCGTCTCCGCGTTTACATCCCAGATGTTTGGGAAAGGACCCTGAGGCGGGGGGGGAGGGGGGAGGGCGGTAGTTTCTACTGTTGGTGCAAGAAATAGCTGCCCGCCGACGGCGGGATCTGTATCCATTTGGTTTAAACGGGCCTTTCTCCTCACCCGCCAATCCTGCAGGTATAAGCTGTCAGACCTTTGCCCCTTAAAAGAATCCCTCAAGTCCTTTTTCTTTTTCTTTTTTTAAGTATCAGCCGCCGTAAAGATGCATTTAGTAAACGCTTTTCTGAAGGGGCGGCCCTCCATGCGGAACGCCTTCCAGCCTTTCTCGCGTCTCTTAGGGAAAAAATTGTTCTGCGCGGCTGCTAGGGAGTTTAGGGTACGGGGGACAGCAGAGAGAGAGAGAGCGAGAGAGCGAGAGAGCGAGAGAGAGAGTTTTTTCGTGGGGGGGGGGTGGCTTTAAAGAGCCCCGTTCCGGTCTCGGCGCAGCTGCCTTGTCATTAAGCATCCTTCCAAGTCGAGACATTCTTTCTGGCAGGACACTGGAACGACTTCTCTGAGACATCATCAGTACGGAAATAAAAAGGGCCAGGGAAAATAACCAGGTCGAGGACAGGAGCTCAAGGAATGACTTCGGATTAGAGAATGCACAGCAACTTTTCCAACTTGGCGCCTGTGCTAGCTCAGGATGATGGGATATGTAGTCCAACGCGTCGTTTGGAGAGTGCTAGGGTGGCAAAGGTTGGCAACTTGTCATGCCCGCCAACTGGCTGGGTTTGAAAAGTAAAAAGAAAAGCAAAGCATCTATTTTACGAACAAGCACGTTGGCTTTATCTCCTCGGCTACCTGGCTCACAGGTACTTCTGCAAGAGCCGGAGAATTTTAAAAGCACCTTAAGGAGAGAGGGTAATCTGGTTACCAGAAGCCTAAACGTGTGGCTTCCTAGTCAGAGTGCTGGACTGAGCGATGTGGGTTGTAGCCCCCACTTAGCCATGAATCTCAGCAGGTAATTTTGGGCCTGTCGCTGACGTACCTCCCAGGGTTGTAAGGACAAAATGGAGAGGCGAATCATGTACAACTTGGATTTCTCAGAGGAAAAACAGGCTAGAAATGCAACACACAAAAGCATGCCTCCCATTTCGGTCAAATTCAGAATATTAAATTGACCACCAAACGATACAGCAAATAGCACAGGAAGGATTCTCACTTTCCGCCAGAGGAGTGTGCTTCTGTGGGCAGAGGGGCATGCAAACCCGCCTTGTCAGATTTGCATGAACTCAGCTGCCGCGACTGGAGCCCTGGAGAAATGCCAAGGGGCCACCATGGGCCATGTAGTCCAATCAGGCAAGTCAACAGAAATGTGGTGTTTCAGTGTATGTGTGTCTGAAGCAGTTAAAGATGCGAGGGATCATAACAGAAAAGACAGATGGCAAATGCAGGCAAAATATTTATGAACATGTATTTATAATCCAGCACAGCCTCTGTGCCTCTTCATGAGCCCCTCTGTTTTCAGTTTCAAGGCGACTTACTCCTTGGTAAATGGGATCTTTGACCTACTGAGTCTAAGGAGCAGTTCCCCTTTGATTCCGTGGGAATTACTTCTGAATGCTGTTGCAGTGTAACCCTATACACTGTAGGATATAGAAGTAAATCCTAATGCATTCAGTGTGAATTACTCACAAGTAAGTGTGTATAGGATTGCAACTTTCCTTGACTTACATCTTGGTGAACAATTGGATGGAAGGCGGTGTACTTGATTTTCCTTTTTACAAGTAAAAAGGCCACAAAGAAATATTTTTGGAAGGAAGGAAGGAAGGAAGGAAGGAAGGAAGGAAGGAAGGAAGGAAAGCAGGCAGGCCAAACTCTCAAGGAGGCCCGAATACCTTCGCTCTCCCACTCCACACAGCTGAGAAGTCAAAGTCACCACTGCTGCCCGCGTGTTCCCGTGAAGTTCGTTCTCAAACGCATATCCCAAACCAACACGTGCATGATTCAAAGCTCCTCTACATTTCAACGGGTGGAAGGGGTGCGGGATGGAAAGTCCCTTGAACAGTCTTTCGTGACGAGGCATCAAGGGAGCAAGTTAAGAACAACTCCGAACCGCAGAGCCCAATACACGAACCGGTTAAGCGGGGAGATATTGGCCCAAAGCCCCGGGGAAACGAGGCTTCGCAACCCCAAAGCGCGGGGCTCGTGCGGCAATCCGACACGCGCTGCCCAGGGAGCCAGCCTGCTTGCTTGCTTGCTTGGCGCCCTCCAGTTATGTCGGAATACAAACCCCATCTTCCCCAGCCAACATGGCCGGCTTCAGCCGCCGCACCACCATCTCCCATGAGACAGAATAACACAGGAACGCGATCAAAGCGCGGTAAAGCGCTCTGAATATGCTCAGTGCTGTATAAATGTCGAAATGTTTACTTGGGCCACTGAAATCCCGAGGACTTTTCCCAGCCTGGTAAACACGTGTCGGGTTGAGGTAGATTGCAGCAACCCGGTTTTCCGAATGCAATTTGGGCTTCACTGCGGTGAGAAGCCCGCCCGAGTCCCGAGCGCACCGACCCCGAAGCAAACAGCAACTCGCCCCCCGCCCGTTCGCGCTGCAGCGGGCATGAACCCCGGTTGCCCCTGCAAAAGCGACTTGTAAATCGGCCTCAAATCCCCCGGGCCCGCCTTCGGTGGATCCGCTTTCCAATATATTTAAAACGTAATCTCCTAATCAGCGCCTCTGTTGGCCACTTATCTCCTCCGAGATTAAGTCGGCTCATAAAGGCGCTCCCCTTTCGCGCTACTTGCCGGCGCGGCTTCGCTTATCTCTCCCTCATTGTCCTTATCGCAGACGCCGCTCCTGACCATAGATTGCCTTTATCTGGAGAAGTTCTAATTGCTTTTCTTCCCCGCCCTCCATCTTCTTCTTCTCCACAATTGCATTTCGAACCAGGCATGCAAACTGAGGATTAAGCACCGCCGTGAGGACGCGGGTCCCAGGCAAGGTGGCAAAGCCATTCCCACAACCCCAGGAGCTCCTCTCTATCCTCTCCCCCCTTCCGACCCGTCTCACTGCAGGCCGCTTGCCGCGCACGCGGTTGCTCAGAAGTAAGTCTCCCCGGGGTGCGCGCGGGTGCCTGGGGCCAGGCGTCTGAACCCGAACACGCTTCCTAGAAAAGTCGAGGGCTACATTCTCCTGCGGCCATTCACAGAACCGGGAAGCCCAGCCGTGCACGTGTTTATAAGGAACTCGCATGCAGCTCGACGGGGCTCTTCACTCCCGCGTTCGCACGCCTGTGATCCCTGCTCCTTGGGGTTTACTGCCAGTGCCTTGCAACGTGTTAGGAGTGGCCGTGAAAAAGGGCAAGTTGCAAGGCCGGCGAAACTTAGTCACGGGAACAGCAAACGCAGCTCTCTCCATCGAGGTCAGAGTTGTCCACACGAACTGGCAGCGATCCTTCCCGCAGCTCCGAGGGAGGAATTCCACCTCGGCCTGGAGCTGTTGGGAATCGAACCGGTGCCCTTCTGGTCGCAAAGCAGGTGCACCCCGCGACGCTGCTTCGCCGCGAGGTTCCCGGATCCCCCCGCGCAGAGCAGAGCACGGACTCCTGGGTGCCCATGGCGGTGACAGCGCGTTTCGGTCCACTTTAACCCAAGTGGCGCCCTCTCGAGCTGCGTTCCCTAACCTGATGCCCTCCGGGTGAGCTGGACTACAACTCCCATGGCCCACATCTAGGAGATGCTGGCGGGGATTCCGTGCACCCATCTGGGGACGCCCCGGCGGGGGAGTCTGAGTTCCAACGATCAGCAGCTACTTGGATAACAGGAATCCCTCCAACCCCCCCCCTTGGGGGGGTCTTTGGGAGAACTGCGACGCGTCCCTCCCTCCCGCGCGCTGAGGGGCACCCTTTCCAATCCGCCCCCCCCCCTTCCCCAGGACTCAGACCCGGAGAAGGGGAAGGGAATTACTTCTGAGTCTGCTAGCATTTCGCTGCCGGCGTCTTCGGGCACCTACGGGGTGGAAACGGGAAGGAGCACGAAACCTCCGCGGAGGGGGAGCATGAATAAAACCGCATTGTTTTTCCGGCGGGGGCGGTGGTCCCGCAGCATCCCCGCAGGCGCCCCCCCCACCCAGGCCGAGCGGCGATAGCGACTTCCTGACACGCAGGTAACGCAACAGGGGCTCGTCGGGAAGGAGCAGGTCCGAGGCGGCGGCGGCCCGGGGGGCGCGGCCGGGGGCGGGGAGCCGCCCCCCGCTTGCGCGGGCCTCCTGCGCGCCCCGCTTGCGCCGCGCCCGCGCTCCCTCGCGGCGACACTTGAGCCGCGGCTCAGGTTGCAGGGCCTGACGTGCCTCCCGGGGGCAGGCGGGGAGGGGGCGCGCGAGCGGCGCTATCTGTCTCCCTCCCTCCCCTCCCTCGCCAGTCCGTCCCTCCGCGCCGAGCCAGAGCGGCGGCGCGG